CGGGTGGCCCAGAAAAAACGTTCCGAACTTTAGAGGCCTGTATATCAAATACGAGTACAAATAGCGACCCAAAATTTTCATCAAGTTTGCGTCATTTCTTTGCGCATTTGTGTGCCAAATTATAACACTATACCATCATTTTCAAGCTGGCAATCTTGAGTTGAATTAAGCAAGACCTTTTTGCTTTTTTTGCCGATGTGAAACGATAGTGATGATTGGGTTAGACGTCCCATGTTATAAAAAAGAATAAAAAATAGAGCACGTGAATGAAACCAACACGTATGTTCTTATTTTAAATATTTTTGTCTCACTTATGTGCCAAATATTCAAATACTGAGCCAAAATGGTGCTCATGGATGTCATTCGTTTCAACACCAAATCATGTTTCGAGCAGGAGTGGCACGATGCATGGATTACTGCTGATTTCCCTCCTTTCAGTAGATCAAACAGTAAATCGACCGGATAAGGAAAACAAACTAAAGCAGACTGGTTCCTGTGCCAGAAGACCACAGAATAGCTTATGAAAAACAACATTGCCAGCAGATGCCAAAACAATATGGTTGAAAAGCTATACCTTTTCCCAGGAATGTCAGCCCTAGGAAAGCATTTGAGCCACAAGATGGTTAGAAAACTGGAAACTTCTTCCGATGCCGCTGGCACAGAGCCATCGTGGTTGCCTGAGGGAATGTGTCATCCTGAGACCCGAACCATCAATGAGACTAGCTGCCAGTAGAAGTCATGGCTCTAGGCCGCGGTGCCGCGGGGTGAAAGTGACCCGTTCACTCACATTTTTTAGTAAACATCGGAGCAAAAAAGTAATTTTTACATGGCATGCTTGAAACACGAACCGTTTAAAAAGTTATTTACCGAACACCATGAAAATCACACCATTTACTGAAAATGCGTGCCGCATTGACTATTCGAAGTTTCAATGTTGTATCTTTATCACTTTCTGAGAAATATTGATTTAAAGTTGGGAACGTTTTTTCTGGGCCACCCGGTATTCCACCATTGAGTTGGAAATGAAAAATTGGCCATAAATCATGCATCACACAGCCCTAGTAAAATAGGGTTAATGTGCTGACACTTGGTGACCTGACCTGTGACCTAACCTGGTATTATCAGTGACCTCTAATAGCAGCATATGTACTAGGCAACTGACGTCCTATCGCTGATTTTGGATAGAATGTGCTTTACTCGATGTTATAGCGCATTCCCTAGAAGACCCGTGAACGGCAAAACATTTTATTTTTGACCTGACCTGTGACGTCATCGGTGACCCCGAGGTTAATGAAATGAGAATTATCGCGACAAATTTGACAGTGCTTTCGAACGCCGTTTGAATTTTGCGGATCCGTCCAGTAGTTTCGGAGATACGGGGGGGGGGCAAAAATAGCCCCCCCCCCCCACCAGGTCGCGTTATAAACAGACCCCACCAGGGCGCGGTTTAACAGTATGTGCCTTTTATAATGAGGACACTACACAGTACAAGGCCATGGTGCAAGGATGGCTACCTACTACTAATCAATCATGACATTTGCAATTGATGTAAGCCGAATCCTGTAGGATTTGTGTTTTCCATAATCCGAATGACAGCATTCGATATCGCTCTGACGCTTGCTTGATAAGTCAAACTAAATTTAACCTGCCTTTGAAACCCCCTCAATCACGCGACAGCTCAGTTGATATTCCAGAAAAGCAGCGATAATTATGGGGCACTTTGTCCCTCTTGCATCCATAATTATATCTTCCGCATCCAATAACTTAAAGCAATCTCAGTCTTTCGGTGCGGTGAATGTCATTTTAAAATCACGTTTGGTTGGAAAATAGCCCACGGCTTATATTTACTACTCTCTCGAGTGATGTCGGCTAATTATAACTCAGCTCTGGCGCCAGTGACTGCAGTAGGTGTTTAACCCTCGCCCGTATAGGGGGTCGAACGGACCCCCCTCCCCTTGGTTTTTTCGCAAATAACTCGAGTAAAAAGCGGCTGATGGCGACAAAACTTTCGGTACCTCGAATTAACCAATTTTACACCTACCCGTAAAATTTCAATAGCAACCATTTGAACCATTACGAAGTAGTTTTGGTGCCTTCGTAAAATGTTACGAAGCTGTCAGAGGCGGTTGACACCTACTACGAATCTTTGACGACGCTTCTCGGTGAATGGCGCCGAGTGACCGACTTGTCCACCGAACCGTTGCGTCAGCTTTGTGTAGCCCTAGCAAACATAGCGATTCGTTGGCAGTCGTGTGGAGGCAGAGTTTATTGTTGGACCCTACTGAGACTCGCACAAGCTGTGGGTGCGAGACCTTACCGGGTCCCGAGAGTTGTGTGTGCTTTCCCTTACAGAGAAAGCAAAGCACACAGAAGGGTGGGCGAGAGACGGGTGGACACATGTGGACAGGCGGGCAGACGGGTTTGAATTCGATGCAGGGAAACGAGCCTGTTCAGTTCAACGAAATGGCCTGGATAACGGTTTATAGAAGAAACGAAAATGTTAAAGTTACCGTGCAGTCGGCAGCGCCGTGTTGAATGAAGCACATTTAAATAGAAATGGGAATCTAATTGTTTACATATAATTTTTGCTCTGCAACAGTGAGCGAGCGACACAGCGATTAACATCAACGATTAACTTATATCGGCAATCGCTCACCTTTTTGACAAGCAGTCTTCTGTACGGGCTAGCCAAAGACTCTTAAATTGGTAACTCCTTGAATTTACTATAAAAAAACTTTCATCACCTGATCATTGTCTTTTTAGTTTTTACAGCCGTTTGCTCAAATAAAAACGGCCGGTCAAATTGATTCTTTTCTACTCATCTTGCGCCAAGTGATGTTTATGTTTTGTGCTGGTTGAAGATTTTGGTTTGACTAAAATCTGTATTCTCCATCTTGCCTTGTCGTTCTCTCCCACCCAAATCCTTATTGTCCCGGCTGAGCTTCGTCTGTGCTATTTCAGGAGTGTCACGCTTATGCTAATGAGAACATAACTTTTAATTGTGGCGTTGGATTTGTAGCCTGACGCTAAAGTGACCCAAAAATGGTTGCGTTAAGCGTGGTCGTTTGTGATTGAGTCCATAGAGTCCCGAGCTGTTCGATTGGCAAGAACCTCAGCGAGCGATGCCTCTCAAATGTTCTCCGGTTGCGAAAGCTAAACTCGGTCACCCAAACAGTTCGATTAGAGGAGGCTTGGGATTCAATTCCAGTGAAGGTGACAAAGTTAGCAAGTAGCTAAAAGGAAAGGCGGTGCGGAGCGAAGTAGAAGGAAGGAGAAAGAAAGAAAGAAAGAGACTGAGAGAGAGAGAGAGAGAGAGAGAGAGAGAGGGGGGAGAGAGAGAGGACATTAATGGAAAAGGAAAAGAAGGAAAGAAAAGAAAAGAAAAGCGGAAAAGAAAGCGCGAGAAACCGACGACAAAGTTATTTGCACCGCACATTGTGAATGTAATGCTTAGACAAACATTACTTCTTAGACAAAAACTTATCAGAAATATTGATAAACAATACCGCCAGTGTAAACTGAAAAGCACCAACGTGGTATGCAATTTCGACTGATATGCCTATGCAATATGCATCCCATCCTACTTGTTTCACACTGCACTCTGTTTCGTCCTTTTCTGCCCTGTTTTACCCCGTGCTGGTCTGTTTGCCCTGGTCCAGCCTATTTGTCCCAATTTGGCCCCAGTTTGCCCTTTTCTGGTCTTGTTCGTCCTGTGCTGGCCTGCTTTGAACTGTGCCGCACTATTCCACCATGTTATGACCATGTTTTGACCTATTCTGACCCCAATTTTCGTCCTGTTTCGCCCCGTTACGACCCTGTGTTACCGATTACTGGCCCGTTTTGCCCCGCGACGGCCTGTGTCGCCCTGTCCCGGCGTATTCTAACCTGTTTCGCTCTCTTTCGCTCTGTTTTGGTCTGTATCTTTCTGGTCTGTTGTGGACTGTTCCGACCCCGTTTCGCCCTCTTTCGCTCTGTTCTGGTCTGTTGCGCCCTGCTCCGATTTCGCTTCACCGCGTGCCGACCTGTTTTGTCCTGTATCGCAACGTACCGGCCTGCATAGTCCTGTGCCGCTGTGTTGCCCTTTGCCGACCTGTTCTGCCTTGCCTCGCCCTGTTCCGACCCTGTTTCGACCTGTTCCGACCCTGTCTCGACTTGTTTCGCCCTGTGCCGGCCTGTGATGGCCGTGCCGGACCACCGCCGCCGGTTGTGACGGACCACCGCCGCCGGTTGTGACGGACCACCGCCTGTGTCGGTTGTGACGGGCCGGCCTGTGTCGGCTGTGACGGACCACCGCCCCCGGTTGTGACGGGCCGCCATCTGATATCGATTCGGACGGACGTTTCCGGTCCATTTGTCGCGCTGCTCGGCGTCGGCGGCCTCCCACGTCCCGCGCCGGACCGACCCGGGCCGGGCCGACCCGGGCCGGGCTGGGCCGGGCCGACTGAGGAGGGCCCAGGCACAGCGGCCCGGTCAGAACCGCTCCGATATTGAGGACTGGCCGAACTGCGGCTCTGACCGGGTCAGATCTGCGCCGCACATGGCCACATTTCTGGTAAATTATTTATTGTTTCATCCTAGAGTCATTAAGTGTCTTCCGTTTACCCTTATATTAGGTATCGTCCATAGCGACATCGTTACTCGTTGTCAATATCCGGAATAGTTTGTAATGTGTGCTGGCACATTTCGAGACAGGGAGTTTTGTAATGGGCTTCCAAATAACAATATATAGGTGCTCTGTCTCCTCTTCAGTGCAAAATGTTCTCTTCGTTTTAAGCCACTCGAATATTTTCGGCAAATAAGAGTATTCGCTCCAGTTTTTACCGGAACACTCCCTATATAATTATTTCATTGTTGGACTCGCATAGCGCAGCAGCCGTCTGAAATGACTGAGAATTTCGACAGTTCCGTTCACGGCGTCTCGGTCGGTTCCATTTGTCAACCGTCTCTGCGGCGCCCACACAGCGGAACACCACCATGCATCAGACACAACAGCCGCGGGTAAAAACCTCATTTGTGTAAGCGATTTGTCGAGGCTGGCATCCCATGCTAGAGTTCCTATAAAGTATCAGCGCTCTGTGTTGCCGATCTGTTGATCCGCTGGGTGAATAGTGAGTAGTTTACCCATTAGACATGGGTGGAGGCATTTGGTTTGCTTAGCTGATTTTTTATGATTTATTATTTCTGGTGAGGCAAGTGTTAAGGGGAACTCTCAAGCAGTTCCAAACAGCCATGAAACGACAAATACACCTGCCTTGACCGGGGATCGAACTCAGAGGCTGGGTCCCTGAACACATCGGTGATTAATCCTCTGCACTGGTAGAGCAGTACTTAGTAGAGCCGGGCCGGCCCAGCACTCGGCGGAATGATAGAGCTCCGGGTGTGGGTTGAACACAGCACTGCTGGAGAGGCTACTGCGGCTAAAAATGGACACCCTTGACAGGCCGACAACGCTATATAGCGCGCCTAGTTCTCGCATATTCTGAGCAAAGGTCAGCTTGTCACGCAAGCTGCGGTCGGTCGCCGAACTGTGGCCGAACTCAGGTCTGTGCGCCTGCCGGCTGGATTCCTGGATGTGCTTCGGTAAATGCCACTGACTATGTCAAACAGCTTGTTTATTGAGGAGTACGTCCGTAACTTAACATGCAGCATTGCAGCATTTACAGGTATGCAAGGTGTTTGATTGTGCTCAAAATGTTGTTTTTAATATTGGTTCAAGTTTGAATGGGAAAACATTTCTTTTGCTTTCCAGAATTGATGATTTTAAGTTGATAATGAAAAGTGCTGATGGAGCCGGGCATGAAATGGAAAGGTGAATTATTCCATTACAACGAATGTTAACATAGGACCATGGCTACATGCGACGAAGTGAAAACAAAAAGCAATGAAACGAAGAGACTAGCCTTCTATCGGCTAGTCGGGAAGATGCATAACGTTTATGTTTACTTGAGCAGCATAAGTTTCGCTGAAAACGGATGAATTTGAAGCGCGATAATATTTCCAAAGCATTTAAAGCAGGGGTCGGCAAATGGTGGGGCATGCCCCCTTTGGGGGTAATGGCGCCCTTCGGCGGGGGGTAATGAGGGCCTCTGAGAAAGACTCATCTTTTTTAGAATTAATGGCTCCCTTGATGGGACAAACATCGCAACTATTGTGCCCCAGGATTCAAAGATTAGTCGAGGTCAAACGCACAAAGCATGAACTGATTAGCTGGCGCATGCCAATTTTCATGTAGCTGCTCACCATTCCGTACAGTCGTGGAAAGTAACTGTCATGTACTAGCCGGCGCTCGTCTATTGGCGTTTTCACAGTCACTAACGCAAGGGAGAGGAGTCGTCCATTGCACCCTGACCTGAGCATCTCGGTCTCTGAGCTGGAGCTTTGCAGAAAATTGAGCGTGTTGCTCGTGAAGATAAGCAGCCGCTGCTACCCAATTTAAGGGTCGTTGGTCATTGGGTGACCTAATATAGGTCAATAACAACTGCCGAGTTAATCGGGTCCTGCTGTAACTTCTTGAGGTGAGATTTTGTGGCCTACCATGATCTCAAGAAAGATCTCACAAATCAACGGTTATTCGGGTTAAGGTCATGCCATTTTCAGGACAGATAAAAATGATCGGCTCGATGGTACAGTTTTTTTTTTCGTGATCCGACCCTTTTAATGTGATCTATTCTCGAAAAATACCCGCTGCACCTACACGTATGGGGGTTAACCCGCGCCCCGCTGGGGCTCCTGGATTTCCACGCCCTGCTGGAGATGGAGGTTGAACACCCCCTATTAACTTGGCTCCTGGGTCACTAGCGAAACGCCGTAGTCGGCGATCGAAAGAGCATAAGAAATGATGAAGAAAAACTATGGTAACCTTTTAGGTCAAATCAAAGGTCAGGTCACCAGAGGTCATCGAACGTAAAATTTCGCCAATTTCCAGGTCAACCTTTGACAATTTTCGATAAACTGGCCTATAGCTCAGGAAAGGATAGAGCTACAGCGCTGCGGAAAAACGCATTCGATAGCTCTCTTAACGTTTTTTCTGATGCCTGCCCTCAGATTCAACCGAAGATGGTTTAGCCTGCAGGAGACAAAAACTGCCAAAATTGAAAATGTACGTTGCTTGCTGATAGTTGTTCTTAAATAACTTTTCACTCAAAACTTGCAAGAGCTCACTTTTAGCAGCATCGTGATCCTCCCGTCGAGAAGCATCGAAGGTTTTGTTGCACATCAGTCGATCCGTATCGTCGAGCTGAACACATCTAAGGCATTTTCATCGCTCTGAGATGCCTTTATCAAAGTTATTAGCGAATAGCTGTTAGATACCATTCATGACCTGAAATGACCTCAGGGACATAGAGTGGGGTTACGGGTGCAATTTTCCGGTTCAGCGGTCATGTTTACTAGTGTCACAGTGTTAGGAATGACACTGGTCCAAAGGAGGCGCCTTTCAATTTTCTACCATTGGCTTTGCGCCCTCTCCCATTGATAATGGGAGAGGGCGTGAAATTGACCTGAACTTTGGTCACCGACATCAAATCTCCGAGATACAAATTTTGTACATGTTATTGCCTTTATCAATTCCTGAAAGCTTGAAAGAGATCTGTCACTCAATGCAGCTAAAGCAGGCGTTGCAGTCTTTACTGAGGTGAGATGAGGTCACTTGAAGTGATCTGGTGACCTGACCTTGAGTGACTCTGGTCTGAAATATTCACAACATGTGCAGAAACGATGTATGATAAAATGTTCCAAAATGGTGGCGCTCCGTGCCAACGTTTTTGAGATATTTGCGAGAACCGCAGGGGAGGGGGCCTGCGGTTTCTCGCAGATATGGTACCCAAAGAGTCACGGAAAAGTATGGAATTTCAGTAACCTTGGTTGTATCACCAATGGGGTCTGGTAGGTGGGGGTAATGGCCCTGCCTGGCGCCAAAAAAGGGGGCACGACCCCGGAGGACCTGCCGACCACTGATTTAAAGTGACCATCCCACCTTAACACCAGTTTTGAGTTGTGATAGCCAACTTGGGGTCCCTAGCTTGCAATTACCGATTTGGGCACTCACAACATCGAGTAATGCTTCAATTTGGAGATATTTAATTTCGAGTTCTGCAGTTTTCGGATTCCAAGGGGGCTAATGCATTTGAATGCCCCCTTAAACTTTGTGTCATCAGCGCATATCTAGTAAATTTTAAATCTTATATACTAAAAACCTTGGTAAAAGACAATTGTTGCTGTGATGGTATATACTGTCTTGCGCGCAACATCTGTCGCACTTTTAAGGTACCAAATGATTGCTTCCAAATGACGTCATATGAACAGCGGAGGCCTTAAAAAATAAACAACAATTAAAGCATATCTAAAAAGGAGAATATTTTTCGGTGAAATTTAGTAGATTTTCACTTTTGCTCTTTTTGAACCACGGTACATCAGTTTTATACCAGTGGGAGGCATTGATAACATTGATAACTTCATAAGCCAGTCTAAACTGGTATTGGATTCCAGGAGTTTGCGGACAATAACTTTTACACATGCTCGTTGGGCTGATTCTAATCTTGGTCTCCGTTTCCAGATAGCGAGGACGTCTAACTCGAGCAGCCTTTTTTGTCGTCGGTAAGATATAGCCATCAACTTACGAAAGTTTTACGTCGCTGCAGTCATAATGAATAACGATGCTGCGCATGGTGCAATCTCACCCAGACAGACTAAACGGAGCTAATTCGCAATGTTGCGGTATTCTCAGAATGGTGGCGTTGTTCACCAACTCCGGTAAGCGCCCCAGTGGAAGCCGTCTGAGGCCTATCCGGGAGCCAGTGCCTGCGGACGCCGCTGCCTGACCTTCAGCGTGGGCCCACTACCGCCACCGGCGCCGGCCCGGGCTCGCACCGACTGCAGCTCCGGCCCGAGCGACCACCTCCAATGAATGAATGGGACGGGTGGCAGCTATTTCCAGCCCGGCGCGGTGCCACCGGCCGCGCCCGGCTCTGGTGGCCAGGTATTGCAGTTCCACCGTGATGGTTTGCTCAGTGAGCTGACCCGGAACTGAGCAGGACGACTGGGCCCGAGTGGGGGCGCGAAATTAATTATATGTAATCCCGGAGGGTTAGATAATTGTGGTCTTATTCTGTGGAGGTAATGATCAACCAACATCAACGCCATGTCAATAAAACTGAGACTTGAATTTTTTAACACAAGCTTGTCATCTCTTGGACCAAATGAAAAATAGGAAATACCTGGAACATCAAATGACGTCGTTTTATCTAAACGTGCATGTTAGGACGATAAAAAAGCTTGTGCTGGGCTGGACAAAATATTATAGGCATAACGTGTATAGTCCTTTATAGTTACATCATTTTTCAACTAAGTTTTGAGTTTGGCCCCGCGTGAGCTAACATTATATATGCATTGAATACATCTCTTCATTGTAGCGGCTTCTTGAATAACATAATGGGTCGAGAAGGAATGAAATGTAGTACCCATTTCCAGCGAACACTTCTGGGTGTTCCACTGATGCGGTGATCTATTCACAGCGCCCGGTACTCCGCCACCTTCAGGACATGTTGCAATGTATAAATGTACATCAACAAGATGTAATTTCCGGTAACACCAGTTCAGCATTTGAAAGTGGCCGAGTGAATTATGAAATGGACCGCAAATGACACACCATTTCTGTGTAGGCGACGTGAGCTACACAGCCACCTCGACCGGTCTGTCGGAAATCCTGTTTTCCAGCGAGGCCGGATCCGTGGCCAAGCTGAGACTTTGGCTCAGCAGTGGGGGTAGTCGGGATCCGTGATGTATTCGGTGAACAGGGGCGGCTCCCGTGGGTACCTGGCACCATCGGAGCCGATGCCGTCTAGCAGCTTATGTAGGTCCTTCTGGAGTGGCCCCTGCTCGGCGTATTCGTATTAAGTGGCTAGGATTACCTTGCTGTTCCAATTCAGGACACTAGCATCAAGTATTACACTATTGGTCGTCTTCACTGTCCTCAGTGATCTTAACTCTTAACCACTTGTCTATTTTAGCACCTTTCGAGGCGTTGCCCCGTAAGCACTAAGCAGGAATGGAGAAGCTTCGTCGAGAAGTGAGAAGATATTAGTTTAATACTTTTTTTAGAATACCTATACATTGTACTTACCTAATGGGAACTAATGGAGGGAAGGAGTAGCAATTTACTTACGCGAATGCAAGGTCGAAATTTAAGAGTTATGCGGAGAAGAAAAAATGAAGAGAACCCTCTTTGAAAGATTAGATGCATATGTTGTGTAATCGAGCAGAGCTTGTCGTCAAATGAATAAACTGAATTGAATGAATTTACCAACCTCACTGCAGACAGTCCGATAATGGGGAAGATTTGCATAAAGATAATCGCCGCTATCCTATATACTTTACGGATAGGATGAGCAACCCCCCCCCCCCCCCAAAAAAAAAACTTGTTATCAAAGGAATTAACATACCCATTCCAGTCGTTGGCCGTTACAACTAGCAACGACCGGCCCAGCGGCCGCTAAGTTCGATGCTACCACTGCTGCCGGCTACCCACAGATGGCGCTAGTGGTGAGCGCCTGCATCTATACTGTGCTGCACAGCACTGAGCCCGTTCCAGCTTTCTATTATGCTAGTCAAATAGCGTGGAGCTGGTGCGTGTGCCCAGCGACCGGAGCTCGCATGACATGGCTTGTTAGTGGCGTGACCTGCGCTCTGACCTCCGCAGGAACGGAGCTGGGGCTGAGCTGTCAGCTGTCGAGATCACCCCCCTCCCCCCGACCCCCCTCACCCCGCCCACTTCCTGCCCGGGCCGACCATCGACCCCGGGCCGGAGAGGTCGGCGGGGGACACTGCTGACGTCACGCGGCCGCCTCAAGCTTCATTCATAGTCGGCTCTCATTGAGAAGCACTGCCGCCGCTCGATGCTGCGGTTATGGCGCCGGGAAAAGGCGCGACGGCTCGGTCACGTGGTGCGGTATCACTCTAATTTCAACTACCAACAGTAGGGGCCACGTGACTGTCGAGTGGCGCGGAGCGGCCCTGGCTGAGCTCTGATAGGGTGGGTCGGCCGGGCCAGCCGCCGCCGGCGGGACTGGGTTCGTTGGGACCCGTCTGAATGGGCTGATACGGGTCGGCGGACTGTCAGCCTGACGGTCTGTCATGCTCCGAACCCGTGGTCGTAGACGACAGACAGCAAAACGCGCCAGCGCCGTCTGAAAATAGGGAGCTGAATGAGACCAAACGGGCCAGCGTCACCGCCGCGCCGGGAAATTAGCGGCAAAAAACAAACGGTTACGGATTTAACCGACCGATAAGGTGACGCTGACTGACGTGTTACTCGTGTAGAGGAACGGCCGATCGCAAAAATGATAACATGATTATTAGTGAGGTGTTTAGCCTTCACCTAGTTGCCCATTGCGTAGAATGGCGGTTAACCCGGCAGGCGGTGGACCTACCAGCCACCTTCCACGCGGTGGGGGGGCAATTTTTTGCCCCCCCCCCCGTATCTCCGAAACTACTGGACGGATCCGGAAAATTCAAACGGCGTTCGATAGCCCTGTCAAATTTGTTGAGGGAAACCAAATTTCATTGACCTCGGGGTCACCGATGACGTCACAGGTCAGGTCAAAGATAAAATGTTTCACCGTTCACAGGGCTTCTAGGGAAAGCGCTATAACACCGAGTAAAACGCATTTTGTCGAAAATCAGCGATAAGGCGTCAGTTGTCTAGTACATATGTTGCTATTAGAGGTCACTGGTCATACCAGATCAGGTCACAGGTCAGGTCACCAAAGGTCACCAAGGGTCACCACATGAGCCCAACTTTACTAAGGTTATGTGATGCATGTTTTATGGCCAGTTTTTCATTTCCAACTCAATGGTGTTGGTTATAAGCCCATCAGGTACGGTTTAGGTCACTTTCTGGTGGAGGTCAGGTCAAGGTCAGGTCAAAAAAGGTCAAATTTCAAAGTTGATATTTTTGCATAAAATGGGTATCGATTCGATGCAGCTCGTCATGGGGAGTCTAATGGTGGTCTTTGTTTTGCGCTACGAGGTCTAGAATTGCTAAAAATTGAGTTTGAAAATTTGACGTCATCAATTTTGAACAGTTTTTTCGCTATAACTTGGCCAAAAAACGAGGTATCGATCTCAAATTTGGTATGTAGATAGAAGGCGGTAGGGAATATCACATATATTCCGTTTTTTTCGAAATTCAAAAAACTTTTTGGATTTTTTTGGCTATTATATTCAAAAAATCTATTTTTGATTTTTGGGGGTGAAAATCCAAAAAATTCGAAAAACCGAAATAGCAGTTTTGTAGTCCTTTTGATTCCACACCTTTTATGTCTAAAACATTTTTCTGTATCTCTAAAGCTGTAGGCCTGACAGCTCTTCCCGCGAAACCTTTTTTTGGGTCGAAAATGGCAAAAATGACGTCACTCTTACGTCATTAGCGGCCAACCTATCATAGCCTTTGGAAAAATTTTTGGTCACCATGTGCGCTAGCTGCTCCCGGGAGGGTACTGAAAGTTTGGTGACGATCGGCGCAGCGGTTCTCGAGATATATCGAAAAAAGTAAAGGGGGGGCAAAAAAATGCCCCCCCCCCACCGCCTGGAAGGTTAACCTTATCACCGATGTCGATAACATTTTCACACTCGTTTCATGCAATTAATAGTCAGTTTGTATTAATAAGCTAGATTCGTGAGAAATTGAACTATAATATAATTCTTGATAGGTTTGTAACCTGCACTGCCCAGGCATGAGGAGCGTAGGTGGTTGCAGTTACGATCGTAGTCATTTATTTATGAATAATTAGCACGGCAGCTGAAGAAAATATAATACAAAGCTAAAAGATTCTTTATTTTTTAGCGATCTTAGCAGCACTTATCATAAGAATTTAAATAACTATTGATTAATTTTATAGTGTGATGTGTGGACCGTCAGGTATCTACACCTGAAAATTGTAGGTATTGTGAATTATCTTTGCAGTAAAACGCAAAATAGTTAGGCAGCAAATATCTACGATTCACTGTGTGGCACCCACTGAAACAAAGCGGCCCCGCTGATTTTCATTTCATAGAACTGGCTCCGACAGGCCGTCCTCGCCCACTCTCCGATGGGCCGTTCTGATAGCACATCCGCCCGATCTTCCCGCAGACGATTTGTCCAGAGACTCCCCACGGGACTGTAAATCGGAAATGGCCAATCGGTCAGCAGTCTCGATCAACAGTTCCATCCGGCGTCCGAGTCTGTTTTCCTGTCCGCTGGACGCGTCGGGTGCAACTTGTGGCGAAACGAACAGCCTAACAGGTGACGATGAAAAAAGAGTGAATCCAAGGTCTACAAGATCTTGAACAAGATAGGATTCAGGGTCTTCAACATATGTACCTACTTATCTCGTCAAACCAAATGCTCAGAGCCGAAGCTCTTCAAGATATTATCCGAGAAATGATAGGGTCAGTATAATCGTGAATTTACCAACTTTCGCAAACCCATGTAACATACGATCAATGATCATCCTGAATCAGTTGAATCCTTGCTCCTAGATATTTAATAGATCCAGATTTTAACACGCGTACCTCCTGACAGATTAGATAACTATTTTCCCTTTGACTGCAAGCCATACAGGAGGAGCACCTTCCACATTTCCGGCACTGCACAATGGGGTTTGGCAAGGACTTATTTTTGCCATGGTGTGGCAGAAAAGATTTTAACCAGCTCCATTTTCTGAATAAATTGTACAGGAAATGACGCTATTAATATTTTACAGGCCTGGGGGGCATGATTCGTCATGTTTCCATGCTGCATAACAAATAGCAGCTTCTTATGTCATCTTTTGTTGTTGAGTTGTTGCATAAAGCGCGCACTATCAATCTCTATCATCCATTCAGCTCGCAGCCGCGGCCCACGCAACAGCCGAACCATTATTCATTGGGTATTTTGCATATCTGGCAGCGTACGTCACGTCCGGTGTTCGTTAATCTACATATCGGTCGGCGTTCGTCAGACATTCATCTCCAGATTAATTTGTGGTTTTTACCTTTATATGATTCTTGAATCCTTTAGTTTTACGTTTTTTTATGGTGAATTTAAGTAATTTGATGAAGGACTTGTCTGTGCAACATTGTGCAACATTTTGCACTCTTTCCAACTCAAAACAACTGATATTTACCTTTACGTTTAGCTGGCAATCAAAGAA